CTGGATAGGGAGGATTAATATTGTGAAAATGGCAATGCTGCCAAAGGCTATCTACAAATTCAATGCAATAACCATCAATATACCAACCTCATTCTTCAATGAAATAGAAGAAACAATCCCAAAATTCATATGGCACAATAAAGACCCCAAATAACAAAAATAATTCTTAGCAGAAAGAACAGTGCTGGAGGAATAACAATCCCAGACATTAAACTACTACAAAGCCATAGTAATCAAAACAGCTTGGTACTAGAAAAAGAATAGATCTGAAGTCCAGTGGAATAGAACTGAAGATCCAGAAATGAACCCACAGACTTAGAGCCACCTAATCTTTAATAAGGTGGCCAAAAAATAGAATGGAAGAAAGATAGTCTCTTCAGTAAATGGTGCAGGAAAAACTGTTTAAATACCTGTAGAAAACTAAAATTAGATCCTTCTATATCGCCCTACACCAGAATCAATTCCAAGACTTCGAAGTAAAAGCAGACACCCTGAAAATAATACAGGAAGGAATAGGAGAAATTCTAGGGCTCCTTGGCACAGGCCAAAATTTCTTAATAGAGACCCAGAAACTCAACAAATCAAAGAAAGGTTGGTCAAAAGGGATTGCATGAAACTGTAGACCTTCTGCAAAGCAAAGGACATAGCTAGCAAGATCAATAGAATGCCCACAAACTGGGAGAAGACATTCACTAGCTATACAACAGACAAGGGCCTCTTATCTAAAATATCAGTACTTTAAGTATAGCGTGAGCTGGTGGCTCATGCCTGTCATCCTAGCTTCTCAGTAGGCTGAGATCTGAGGATAACAGTTCAGAGCCAGCCCAGGCAGGAAACTCAATAAGACACTTATCTCCAATAAACCACTCAGAAAACCAGAAGTGGCACTGTGGCTCAAGTAGTAGTTTGTTCTCCTCCAGCTGAAGAGCTGAGGGACGGAACCCTGGCCCAGAATTCAAGACCCATGACCGACCAAAAAAAAAAAGTAAAAAATAAAATATACTTACAATTCAAAAATTTAAATCCCCCCAAAACAAATCCTTAAAGAAACAACCATCCAGTTATTAAGTAGGCTGAAGACTTAAACAGAGATTTCTCTGAAGAGGAAATTTTTTAATTTTTTATTTAGTATTGTGCAAAATGGTTTCAATTCAGTAAATCAGTTTACGAATACAATGCATCTTGATCAACTTTTCCCCTTACATCATTGACTATCATATTTCCAGCCCCACTTATCCCTCAAGTTATTTTCTGAACACAAATCATTTAATTACTTAGATACATGAAGATAATTCTTTGATATTTAAGAAATTCATAAGAAAGGATAGATTTAGATGTTTGAAAACATTAGCTGTGAGTTGACTGAGGTCATTTGTAACAGAAAAACAATATGGGAACATTAAGTACATTTCCCCCTTTCCAGTAGCATGTTTTTCTTGAAGAACATAGGAAGACAGGTCTGAAGAAACATCAGGAACCTTTAAACAAAATTTCTCTTGGGATTTTTAAAAATTAGAACACATCTGGATTCACTTTGTTTTGGATGTGTCAATTCCAAAAAACAAGACCTTACCTGTGCAGGGGAAGGCACCATCCCTTCCCCATTTCCCTTCAGTGGCATCTCTGTTTGATGAAGAAGCATCTTGTGAAGGGCATGGGCCACAGCATACACAGCATTGTATATATTGTAACTCTCTTCAGACATGGCCATGTCAAAAATGTGTCCAGGCAGCCACTCCAAAGAGGCATCCTGGGGACAGTTCTCCCATGTTCCACAGTCAGACTCAGAATGGGAGCAATTAAAAGAGAGAACCCACAGACTAGCAAGGTAAAAGTCTTCTGGGTATTTGGAAGGATTAACTTCCCTGACATAGTTCTTAAACCAAGAAATGTCTGAATGGTGGTGTGAGAACATGAGAGGGACATGCAATGAGCCTAAAATGAAGTATCTTCTACTGGTGGAAAAATCACTCTGTGAAGTCATAAGCCAAACTTTGTCTGACATTAAAATCTTCCCAAAATAAGTCATTAAGTCTAGTAGGTATTCATTATCACCATAAATGATAAACACATTTGCTGATGATTTACTAATCTTGTGATGGATTGTCATTATGTTTAATACTTGTGTCAGGATAGTGCTTGGAATCACATGCTCAAAGGCTACACAGACTCTGTTCTTGGCCATCTCTTCCCTCAATTCTGGAATTATCCACAAACCTCTTTCATCTAGTGAGATCAACAGCCCCACCCAGTTCCAGCTGAAAGAAAGGATCAAGGAGACCATGGCAATGGCTAGTGATGTGTCCTTTGGGGCCATCTGATAGAGAGAAGGAAACTTGTTTTGTTCACTCAGCACAGGATCTAAAGGTCCAAAAGTAATCTAAAGGGAAATAAAATTGGAGAGTCTGTAAGAGTATTGCCATCCTTCACAATCTTAGTCTGTATATTAAGGAAGAGGTTTAAATGATGGAAGGAGATGTTTTCTTTCCTTTTTTGTTTTGGAAACCAAATTTTAAATTTGATTTCCCATCTGTATCAACCATACCCATTTCCGGGCTTTATTTTACATACATAGTTGAACATTACAACTTTATTTTCCATCAGTCCTCTGTTCATTCCTCTATTACCCACATCATTCCCTTTATACTTCTACTATTATCAGGAAACACATGTTTCAGCTTCCTCCTGTTCATTTGGTCAGAGCAATTACATCATGGGAATCCATCATTCCATACATCATCCTTCAGTGTATACATACTGTGGCTATCTATGGGATTTCATATTTATTTCATATTTCATGCTTATATTTTAAATCTAACTTCAACATATTAGAGAAAACCTGATAATTTTTTC